GTCTGACCTATGCCAGGTCTGATGTGTTCTGGTACTGTGGTGGTAATAAATTACTTAATACTCTTCCTCCTGATTGGTCTGGTACCTGCACTATGATTTCACTTATAGTTCCAGTTACTATAGTTGAAGCTGCAGTCTCTGACATTGTGTCAGGCTCTGGTCATCGTTTTAAGGGACACCGGTTAAAGCGGGATGCCTTATTTGATCCAGGTAGGTTATCGCCCACGTACATTGATGTGATTAGCATTCCCCGCGGTGTCCCAAACGAATATAAGTTAGTTGACCAAGTGGCAGCAGGCTTTGAGTCTGCTCTTTTCTGGTGGGTGATCGTAAACAAAAAATGTAGATCGCATAAACTATGTTCATTTCAATGTTCAGCGTCTCACTAATTACACTAGAGATTTGGCTTTTGGCTTTCAGGAACAATTAGCAGCTACTTCTATCATGTCATATCAGAACCGTTTGGCTCTGGATTTTGTTTTGGCCGAAAAAGGGTTTGTACTATGATTGGACAACAATGTTGCACATTTATTCCAATGAATACTGATCCTGATGGCTCAATTGCTAGATCTCTGGCTGGCTTAAAAGTCTTGTCAGAAAAGATGGCTGAACACTCTGGTATTGCCAGTTACATTGCAGATTGATTTACCAATACTTTTGGCAATTTATTATTCATTTTTGTGATGACATTTGCTTTGCCTCATGTATTGTTTTATAATTATTTTATTTTAAACATACAACAGCCAACATATGTCCAAACTGCACGCAGCAGATGGAAGATGAAAGACCCCGAACCAAATCAGGCCTATACATTATATCCCCTCGGTTGGGCTAGCCCCATACTACCCAGAAACGTCAACCGAGACGTCTCTGGTGCCAGCTTTGCAGCTGGCCATAGCAGTAGTCAAAACATGAAGCAAATCAATGTGTGTGTGTCTGTTGATTAAGTGGTGTGTAGCTTTAATACATACTGATATATCCTTGCGTACATGTAGGTGGTGTGAACTCATAGTTTGTTAATTGATTTTTGGTAATCAATTTTTGATAATTAAGTTTGGTTAGTGTTAATGGTAATTGATAATGGTAACTTAAATCCTCATTGTTGTGTGGGGTTTATGATTGCGATAGGATGAAGGGGAATCTTTGTTTTCTTCTGTGTATTAGTTACCCCCTAATGTTATGATTAACCAATGAAAGCTTGTTACACATGATGTTTATGCATTTCCACAATTCTGTCTGCTCAAACGCTCTTAGTTGCGTTGAATCAGCTTACACATACGGCATACATATAGATGTCACTGCTATAAAAAAAACCCGCTTACACGCTATAACCCTTTTTGTGTTTTTAGTTCATTTTTCCCTAAAGTACTCAGACACTGATGCTCTGCAGCAGGAGGTGAGTGACCTGAGGCAGAAGTGTGCACGTCTGGCACAGGAAAACAAAGACCTGAAAACAAAGCTGCAGCGCTACGAACCTGTATCAGAAAATGGGGCCCTTGAGGGAGTGGTTTTGGAGGGGGCCTCTCACCTCTCGAAACGCCAGGTAGCTTCATCTGGGGAAAATGGGACATTGATTTAGGTTGACACAATTTTGGTCATGTCAAAAGGGGAATTGTTAGGTATTTTTAGTCAGATAGACATTGGTTAGACACTTTATGTATTAGAAATGTTTAGTGTAGACAGGTAGTCTAGCTCACGCTGTTAAATGCTTAGTCATTCCCATAAGGGTACTCCAGGTTGTTCAGGTTCAAGGATAACTAGATAGAAAGTTGATTACTGTTAGGAGACAGAATGTTTTTTATTATTATTGTTATTAGTGATGCACCGAAATGAAAATTCTGGGCCGAAACCGAAACCGAAAATTTAGGATGCACTTGGCCGAAAACCGAAACGAAACCGAAAATGGCTTCTTTTAAAAACTTCAAATGTTTAAAACACGCTTACTCTATAATTGTGTATGTGTGTGTGTGTGTATGTATACATATATA